TTTTTTTTTTTTTTTAATTTTGAGGCTAGCCTGTGTGGGGATCTGAACCCATGACCTTGGGGTTATAAGGCTGAGCTCTAACATAGAACTTATTCAGATATTACAGTTATACATGCACTCATTGATGTTACAGTCTAATTTCACAAGTGATATCCTATTGTTTCTGACTCATTCTGTTCACCAGAACAGTCACTAAATCCAGTTAGCAATTGAGGGAGGGGATAAAGGAGGGATGGGAACACCAGGAGGCGGGAACACTAGGAGGCAGGTCCACCAGGGCCATTTTAGAGGCCGACAACCATAGTTGTGAAATTTTTCCTCTATGTTTTAGAAATTTTATAGTTTTAGCTTTTGTGTTTTGGTCTGTGATTCATTTTGAGTTAATATTTCTTATTGGATTGCAGGTCAGAGAAGAATATTAATTTCAATATTCTGTATTTTATTAAAGCTGCCAGGTAGGATCTCAATATAATAATGATCACAGTCTTGTAATTTTCATGCTGGTGAAACCAACTAGAAGGGACTTCTTAAATTTTTGCATGATTTAATACATGCCCAATTTAAAAAGTCAGATAGCACTGTATGAATTCTAGATTAGAAGAAAATATACCTTATTTTAAATATACCCTATTTTTTTAGGTCTTTATAATCAGAACAATTATTTTCCAATGGAAATGGTATTAAAAGAGAAAGCGTAAACTATATCAAAGATCACACTGAAAAATACTTTTCTTGCCATTTTAGGCAGTGGGTCCTCTCCGAGGAGCCCCAGTTTTGTTGGGGGCTCGCCTGGGCGGTAGCTTTCCTGGGCAGAAGAACCGCTGCAGAAGCCAGGCATGCCCAGCAGAGTGGGAAACGAGTTCCAGAGCTGGGACACCGGCTTGAAATACTAGAGCTGGAATCCTCGGGTACAGCTCGTGCTCCTCCTCCAGGGAACTGTGAGCCCACGAGGCTCAGGGTGCGCAGGCGGCGTCTCCGGCACCTAAGGAGCAGTTAGGCTCCCTTCCCTTCCAATCTCTGCTTTTCTTTTTCTTGCTTTCTGCTCTTAGCCATTTCTTATCTTTTTTTGCCTTCTTTCTGAGATTCTGCACCTTTATCTACTTCTCTTACCCCTGCGGTTCTGATGACGAGGACTATAATTCAAAGTTGTGGCTTCGTTCCCTCGTTCTTGGGCAGCAGAGCTTTTCCGTGACTCTTCCTGGGATGCCGTTGACTCCGTCTGCTCATTTTGTAGTCAGGGACTGTTTCATCCAGTCCCTACCGGAAGAGGTTACTTCGAAAGTTCGTGGCAAAATAGAATTAAAAGGTAGTGCGACTCTTGCCCTGAGCTTCCTGGAAGCTCCCGCGGCTGCTGCTTTGTGCTGCACGTTGTTGTCACGGCGGATCCTCCTGCCGTCTCTTGCCTTTGCACCCTGTTAATGAGGCGCAGGTGATTTCCTGTCGGACCTGAAACGTTTGCAGAATCAAAGGCTGGGAGGAGGCAGAGCAAAGCGTTCCCCGGAGGAAGCAGTCTTATGACCCTGCTTCTGACCTGTTTTGCACCAGTGCTATACCAGGAGGGACAGCCGAGCCAGCCGGGATCCCCCACCTCATGTCTGGACCTTGATGTTCATTTCCTCGTTCTCTTTTCCAGGCTCTTCTTGCTCGTGCTGAGCCCACAGGTGTTTCTTACAGAAGTTTGTAGTCGGAACTCTATGCCGCGTTTTTATTCAGGGAAGGAACAGGAAGAGAAGAGCGTCATCCCCTAGGAATCTGGCTCTGGAGAAACGTGAGTCCGATTTGTCTGTTGTTGTTGTCGTTGTTAGTGTTTTTTTGGCATTTAGTTGCTATATGTTCGCTATCAGTTAGCTATCAAGACAAATTGTCTGCTGTAATTTATGTGGCATGCATAAAATCTCAGGTTCCCAGAATAGGCTGTCTTTTTAAATCATTGAATTGATATATTTTAAGTGCATTGGCCAGGGACCCTAGCCCGGGTTACAGGAGGCTCTTTGGCTCTCCCTGGATTCAGAAACTTTTTGGAATCCGTTGTGCACTGTTTCAGTGCCCTGGGGGCCTGAACAGACTCACCCCTACTCCAGTCAATGCCAGTGAGCTTTGTTCTCTGAGCTGTGCGTGGCCTGCACAACCTTGTGCTGGCTTGTATGTCTGTACGCAGGTGAGGGTGAGAGGTCAATCCTAACAAAAGGTGACAGAGGTAAGATATGTAGATAGAGAAGTTGTGAGAGAGTGTGTGGTCAAGGAGGTTTTTTCCTCTTATCAAAAATCAGATCTCCTAAGACTGGCCTTGAAGGAAAACCTGTTTCTGTTCTGGAACTAGAGGTGAGAAGGGCTTGTCAGCAGTGCCTTCTTTATCAGCTGGCTATTTGCTTGCCCGGCAGACCAGCTGGGGGCCAGCAGGGAGGAGTCCTGTTCTGAGCTGCAGGAGGCGGTGGTCAGGCCTGGGACTGGAGCTTCCATGTCTGAGCATAGACCCTCCCCTCTGGGATTCTTCCACCCCAGTCCTGTCCCCTCCGTCTGCCCAAGAGACAGATGTGAAGGATCCAGAGTCCATTCCCGCAATAATTTTTCTTTGTGTAAAATTCTAATGTACACAATTTATTTCAAAGCAACTGAACTTACTCAGCAGATGTCTTCCCCCCATACCTATGAGAATTTTGAACATGCGTGAATTGTGAAGTCGCTCCTGGTGGAGACAGGGAAGAGGGAATCAAAGGGAAAGAGGAGGAAGAGCATCTCACCGCGTGGGTTGGAAAGGGCTAAGGAAGGGAGGCCGTTGCTCTGCTGTAACCCGAGGCCCGGATTGGTGCAGACCCTGGCAGGAGCATCTTACTGGCAGAGGGCAGAGTCAAGGTCATGTAATCCAGCTTGGTCTGCTAGGGAGGGCATGGGGAAAGAATCAGCTTTCCAAGTAAAGTCACTGTAAGGTTTGTTTCAAACATCCTATTTTCTCTGTTTTTGGGTCTACATTGCAACCTAGGAGGCAGGTGTCAAGAATTCAAGTCATAAGACAGGACTAGTGTTCAGCTGGAGACATGGGAATCAGCTCTTGCTTCATTTGAGGAAATGGTCTTGTTGAAGCTATTGCTGGTATCAGTGGTTGCTCAAATGTGAGCAATAATTATTTGATCATCTCAACAAGACTGGGAACCTCTTGAAGACGGTGCCTATTCTGCCTCTCTCAGGTTTCATGCCAGGACCTGAGTACTGGCTTTGTCTTCATATGAGCCTGGAGGCTTTGGGTGCCCATCAGTCATCTCAGGAGTGGTGCCCATCCCTGGTTACGCTGTGTTGCCTCATGCACAGTCTAACGTGTTCCTTAGCCCATCCCACCGATCTCACTTCAGCTCCTCTTCCATCACTGTCTGTTCTGGCTCCTCTCCACTCTCCTAGGGCACATTCCCCATGTCAGTGCAGTTGCACTGTGTCAACCGCTTCTGCTCTGCTGATAGCCCGGCTCCCTTCTAGGCTTTTATGGTGAGCCTGCCTGGCCTTGTAGTATGAGTGAGGTTGATTCCCACTGGACCAGAGCCAGATGGGTGGTTTCCGAGCCACAGAGAGAGTAGGATATGGAGCTCCCTGGTGTTCCCTGGTGCAGTGGGAACTTGACTGTTTATGAAAACTGTTTCTGTGCTGGTCTCTCACTGACTTAGTGAATCATCACCCATTATGTTGTCCAGCTAGCAGAACTTTGGTCTGAAGTTCTGACAAAAATCTTTGACATTTCTTGGTATTCCTTAGGTTCTTATCAGTGCTTAACTTTATTTAGTTCTGCTTGATTTTTGCACCTCTTCTGTGTTGTCTCTGCATTTTATTTATTTATTTTTTGGTGGCTGGCTGGCACAGGGATCTGAACCCTTCACCTTGGTGTTATCAGCATGTCTCTGCATTTTAGAGTTGTTTTATTTATTTTTAAAAATTTTAACATTTACTTTTACATATTTGTGAGGTACTGTGTGTTGTTTCAATACATGCATACACTGATTCACTTAGTGTAGATAGCATAGTTTTGTACTTGTTAGTTTTAGTTTTTTAACCATTGCTTAGCTCTGTGACCTTGGGTAAAGCTAATAGAGATATATCTTCTTTATACCTCTATTATTTAATCTGAAATGGACATGTTAATATCATTACTGCAGATTGTTTTATTGAGAATAATCTGTTCGATTCCTTGTTGGGTTCTCAATAACTGATTAGATTCAACTGTATTTAATTCATGAAACATTTCCCCAACACCTACTGGGTGCTGGATGCAGAGAAAGAAAGATAATTCATTCAGTCAGGGGCCCTGCCCTGAAGGGGCTCACATTCTAGGAGAGGAGTAGGAGTGATTAAATAATTAATTCTCTGGGTGGAGGAAATAGTATAGTGCAGGGAGGGTCATTTGATCTGCGCCTTGAAGAATAAGTAGGAATTTCTCCATGACATGGGGATGTGTTGATTCCAGGCAGAGGGAACAACATTTGCAAAGGTGCAAAGGAGTAAAAAAACATCATGTATAACGGAACAAGTCCTTTATATTCCTTGAGCGTAAAGGGTGTGTGTATATTTGTGGAGGGAGAAGAGCAGTGGGGAGTAGGATAGGTGAAATAGATAGGAGCCAAATCATTCAGGGCATAAATGAATTGAAAAACAGAGACATTATACTAATTTACGTGCTAATGATGGGGAGTGGATTAGCAAGGGCATCATCACAAGGTCTGATATGATTAAGTCTTAATTTGATTTGATTCTAGAATAGTTTGTGACTACTCAGCAGTCAAACCCATAACAGGCAGGTACAGTAGTACAGTTAAGATTAAAATGTAAATGACCATGTTTAAAAAAAAAGTTTTTACTTTTTAGAAATATATACCAAAATATTTTTGGATGAAATGGTATGATTTGCTTTGAGATAAGGAGGGAAGGTGGAAGTGCACGGGGCAGTTGGCGAGGCAAGATTAGCTATGATTGTTAAAGCACGGTGATGAATCTGCGGCAGGCTCATGTGTTCATTCTCTTTATTTTTGTATGTATTTGAAATTTTCCACAATAAAAAGTTAAAAAAATGGCTAGTGTGGATATGTAACTATGCTATTCACATTTATATCATTTTGTTTATTTAATCCTCAGAAATTAATTACAGGTGTACAGGAAGTATTGTGGAGGTTCTTGGGGGGTGTTTCTAGCTGAGGGAAATAGTGAAGACGGCATCTGAGCTTTATTCATTCACTTAATTTGGCAAATGTTACTGAGCCCTACTGTGTACCAGGTGCTGTTCTCAGTTGTAAGGATCCAGCAGTGAATGAAGCCAATGAAGGTCCCTAGTCTTGTGAAACTCAATCCTAGTGAGGATGGATAAACAGTTGATGGCAGATGTTACAGACAGCAGAAAGAGCAGGGCATCCTGAGGGAGATGTGTGATATTGGGGGTGAGGACAGCGGGTGATGGCTGCAGTGACAGACAGGGGGTCAGGGTGGCTTGTTGAGAAAGGTAAACTCTCGGAAACGAGGGAGTTGGCCAGGAGGATATCAGGTGAAGAGCCTTCCCAGCCCAGGGCTCAGCTAGAGTGAGGCCCCAAGTGGGGAGTCTGCTGGGGCGTCTGCAGAGCTGCAGCAGGAGGGGCTGGCGGTGGTGCGGGGCAGGTGCAGGATTGGATCTCATCAGCCCTTGGGAGAACTTTGGCTTTTACTTTTAGTAAAATGAGGAGCCATTGGAGGGTTTTGAGCCAGAGGAGTGACACAATCTGATTATGGCTTCCAGTGATTACTCTGGCTGTTATGTGGGAAAAAAACGCTAGGTTGGGGGACATTTTAGGAGGCTATTGGTGCAAGAGACGTTGGTGACTCAAACTGGAACAATAGTGAATGGATGAGAAGTGGTCAGATTTTGGTTAGATTTTAAAGGTAGAACCCATAGAATTTCCTGAAAGATCATCTGTGGTGTGCAGGAGAAAGCAGGGTGAAGAATGGGATGGCTGTGGAGGGAGGGAAGGAAGGAAGACAGCCAGCATGGCAGCTTTTGGGGGGAGGGAAGATCGGGAGTTCAGTTTCAGATATGTGAAGTTTGGGGTGTTCATTTGCTAAACATTGAAGCGGAGGTCAGGTAGGTAGTGGAGTTTAGAGTTTGGGAAGGAGAACTGAGCTGCAGGTGTACATTTGGCAGTCGCAGCCGTGGAGATGGCAGGTAAAGCCGTGAGCCAGGGGCGACCTTCATGGCACAGAGGGAGCCTGCGGCAGAGGAGCCAGCCTCAGGAAGGTAGGAGATGAGTGGCAGCAGGCGTGGTTGGTATTCATGTACTTTTCATAAACTTCATTCACATTTAGGTTGATAATGTTAGTGCCTAGCACAAAATTCTAATCTAACTGGATTTATTAATTACCCTCTCTTTCCCCTTGTTAGTGGGTCTCCAGGGAACTCATGTCTCCTGTTTGGAGTACTCTCTTGGAAGGGCTCAAAACGGGTCAGCAATTTCTTTCTGTAAAGGGCCGGATCGTAAATATTTCAGGCTTTACAGGCCATTTGTCTCAGCTGTTGGAGGCACAAGCAGCTGTAGACACACAGACAGATGAACATGCTGTGTTCCGATAGAGATTCGTTTATGGACACTGAAATGTGGATTTCATGTAATTTTTTAAAATTTTAATTTAATTTTTGGTGGTTGCCCAGTACAGGGATCAAACCCTGGATCTTCGTGTTAACAGCACATGTTCTAACCAACTAAGCTAACAGGCCGCTCTGAATTTCATGTAATTTTTACATGTCACAAAATATTATTCACCTATTGATTTTTTTTTTTCAGCTGTTTAAAATGTAAAAATCATTCTTACCTTGCAGGCCATACAAAAACAGGTGGCAGGCTGGATTTGGCCTACAGGCCATAGCTTGTCGAGGCCTGGCTTAAAAGATTTTATTTTCCCCTGGGTCAATTTTGAACTGGATTATTCTGCCAAATGCTTTGGTTAGAAATCAGTTATGAAGTGGGGTGGCCAGTTCCTTTGAGTCTGTTTTCAGCCACAATCTATTCTAAATATAGGTTATTTGCATCATCTGTGTGGCCTTGTATAGGACATATTAGTCTCTTTGATGGGAGGCTGGTCTAGGCAGTCTAGGATTTCTTTTACCCTAATTCTAGTCCAATGATTTTCTTAAAAAGTAAAAGAAAAGGGCCGAGCCCGTGGCGCACTCTGGAGAGTGCGGCGCTGGGAGTGCAGCAGCGCTCCTGCCGCGGGTTCGGATCCTATATAGGGATGACCGGTGCGCTCACAGTGCTCACTGGCTGAGCGCGGTGCGGCCGGGCTCAAAAACGACAAAAAATAAATAAATAAATAAAAGAAAAAACAAACAAAAAAAACCGAAGAAAAAAAATCCTTTTTGTTTTTTATTTTTTATTTATTTATTTATTTATTTTTTTGTCTTTTTCCGTGTCCGGCAACGGATCGCAACCCTCAGTGTCGCCCCCGTACCGGACCGGGACCGGCAACAGAATCGCAACCCTCGGCGTCGCCCCTGCGCCTCGCTCAGCCAGTGAGCGGGAACCGGTCTGTATGTGGGATCCGAACCCTCGGCGGGAGCGCCGCCGCACTTCCCAAGCAGCGCACTAGCGCAGTGCGCCACCGGGCCGGCCCCTTTTTGTTTTTTAATTGAAACATAATTGATTATACATGTTTTTGGGGGATACAGCATTGACTGCCATCACCTGTGCACAGCATGTGTTGATCAAATCAATATCATTAGCATATTCATTACCAGAAATCATGATTATTCTTTATGCCCCTTCCCCAATCTCTCCCCAACCCCAAAACTCCTTTTGAAACTTTCCTTGTCAGCGTCTGCAGCGGCGTGCCTGCCAGCGTTTCCTCCTGAGACCTCTCCTCTTCATTCTCCTTCCAGGCTCGTGCCTGAAAGGCAGCATTCCTGTGCACTGTCCTTTCTCCTTCTTTTCTCCTGCTTTCCACCCTCCCTGGGGACTTTAATCAGGCCACGTCTTCAGATGCCACCTCTGCATTGGTGACTAGTAAATGGGGATACATTTAGCTATGACGTTTAGCTCTGACTTTTCTTTTGAGGCTTAAAGCCCTTCAAAGTTTTCCATTACCTAGAAGTTAAAATCCACCCTCCTTCGCCCGGTAGAGGCCCCTCTTGGTCTGGCTCCTTGCGCACTCGTGAGCCGCTTGTTCTTTTTCCGTGTCTTCCCTGTGCTCTTCCCTCTGCTACTGCAACCCCTCGTAATCTCTGCCTTCCTACACTGCTACTCCCAGCACCCACCAAATTGATGCCCTGCCCTTCGAGAACCCACTCAGAGGGCCGCTGACTGCCAGGGTTCAGCGCAGGTTCATGTGCCTGCTGGACGCACAGAGAAGGTGAAACATCCGCTCGCTCTGTGTCCTATGCACATCTCTGCTTCAGTGCTTGCTTGTTGCTATAATTATGAGGTCAAAAACAGTTGCGTATTGGTTCAACATCGACTATATTTACAAGTTGGTACCTTCACTAGACTGAGCTCCTGAAGGCAGAGTTTGGGTCCCCACATGGTTTTGCAACCCCAGGGCTTGACATTTAGAGGGTGCTGAGTATGTGTTAAGAAATGAATGAGTCCATGCTTATGGGGGCTACACTAACTTTGATACAGATCAAAGTAGGTGGGCTTCAGTAGGCGATGTTGAACCTTTATATGATTATATTTTATGTCTTTAAATACATTTATCTTTTTCTCTTTTAGGAGGAAAATTCTTTCAAGGATGGTCTCCCACTCCGAGTTGAGGAAACTTTTCTGCTCGGCTGATGCGGTGTGTTTTGATGTTGACAGCACAGTCATCAGAGAAGAAGGCATCGATGAGCTGGCCAGGCTCTGTGGAGTTGAGGACGCTGTGGCAGAAATGTAGGATCGGTTTTTATTCACTTTAGGAAATGATAGAAAATTTCAAAAGAAAGCAACAGTTTTGGATAAAATGTTAAGACTAGAGCCACCTTCCTGGATTTTGCTCCCTGGCTATGAAACATGGGCACCAGGCTTTTTCTTCCATTACTTAGAGCTGAATTTGGTTATGTGCATTGTCCATTCATCCACTTATATAAATATTTATGGCAAACAAACAAACAAAAACAACCAGTTGCCTCTGGCAAACAAATATGGATAAGACATGCTCTTAGCTTGATCAGGGGAATGAGGACTATAACTAATCAAAGAAGACGGCCTGGGGGTCCTCTGAGTGCCCAGCACTTTGCGTCATAGTTGAAACTATGGCCATGCTGGTTCACTGGAAAGGCTGGTTCTGTTCAGAGTCTCTCGGTGGATCCTGGGTCAGAGTTCCTCCTTCCCTCCTGTGCTCTCTGCTCTGCCGCAGGCTCCAGATCAAGGGCCGTTTTGTTTCAGCTGTGTTTGATGCGAGAGTGTCCAACCTTTGGTTTCTTTCTTGGTTTACAAAAGCTCCCAAGGAAGGTACCTATGGTTTTCTCAGATCACTGGATGTTGTATTTGTGAATATAAAGCACATGGCCCCCAAATATTAAGTGATTCTCAAGCAAACCTTGGATAGTTTATTCCCAGGCCTTGCTCCTGTAGCAACACAGCCCCTGTGCTGTCCGGTGGGGCTCCTGGCAGCACCTCGTTGTGGTGGATGCTGCTGGGCCCCGCGGCAGTCAGGCCTGATCCTGCCTCTCCCTCCTAGGACACAGCGAGCCATGGGCGGGGCAGTGCCCTTCAGAGCTGCTCTCACAGAGCGCTTAGCGCTGATCCAGCCCTCCAGGGAGCAGGTGCAAAGGCTCATAGCAGAGCGCCCCCCACACCTGACTCCTGGCATAAGGTAAGAGCAGCCCGGGTCTGGGTGCACCGTCTCCCCATCAGCACCTGTGTTTGGGGGACACATCCTCCTGAGAGCATCTAACTATTGATGAAGAGGAGGGGAGGCCAGGAAAGGTGAATAAAAGAAAAGAACCACAGCAATTCCATTTTTTGGAACTTATTTGACTTGTTTTCTTCTAGACCAAGAAGCTGACCCTTCATTAGAATTTACTGCTTGACAAACAGACAACATTATTTAGAGAAATCCTGGGAAGACAAAACATGTCAATCTGTTAAACATATGAGAATTACTTACGAATTGAATAGCCTAGGTGAGAGTAGCCATGAATACCATAAAAGACCTGAGAAACCATTATTCAATGTGTCATAGGCAATTGTCCATCCCATCTTCTGACAGTGTTTGGAGTCTGTTTATTGCTTAGAATTTCCTGAACTTGTGCTATAAAACCTCCTTGACTTTTCTGCTTGTGGTGCAGGCTTGCTTCTCACATTCAGAGGCGGTCTCCCCAGTTTGCAAATCTAAATAAAAGCCTCATTTAAATTTACTTACAGACTGAAGTGTTGGCTTGACTTCAGAGCTCCCCTCTTTTTTGTTGTTTTTGGGTTTTTTTGCTTGTTTGGATGGTTCTCCGGTCCTGCCTGTGTCTGACCTCCTGCTGTACTCCGGGAGAGCCCAACCTTGCCTTGTGTTTCTCCATCCTGTGTTTATCTGGGTCCATGCACAGAATAGAATGATTTGTGGAATGGTGTCCTAGAGCAGTCAAACACCAGCCGTTAATTTGTACGTGCATTTAGAGAAACATACCAAACGTTAATTCCCAGGCAATATTCCATGTTAGATGTACCTCAGGCAAATGCATTCAGGAGAAAAAATATATTTTAGTGTCCTTGTCAGGTTTCATTTTTTCTCTTTTGTATTAATCATTGTTTTGTATTTTATACTTTTTATTTTTGCAGGGAGCTGGTGAGTCGACTACAAGAGCGAAATGTTCAAGTTTTCCTAATATCTGGTGGCTTTAGGAGCATTGTAGAGCATGTGGCTTCAAAGCTCAATATCCCAGCAACCAATGTATTTGCCAATAGGCTGAAATTCTACTTTAATGGTAAGACTTGAATGGTAATGTGCTTCCTTTCTTATCAGTTCTGTTATTCAATATTCTAGGTAATGTTTATTGGAATATAATGTGAGTAGGGTGGAGTCAGTTAAATATCGAGATGAACAATTCTCTTGACTGATGTCTTTTGCTCTTTGGTAGCCTTTGCTCTGCAAAATAGGTCATCATCTGTCGCCACGTTAGTATCTATAACATAACCTATCTGTATACAAATGTCTGCATTTAGTAAAATGTTAATTCCTATGTAGCCCACATGACTTATTTTGTTATGTGTTATATTTCAATTTTATGAGAGCTCTTATACATTTGAAGCAATTTAGATTCAGGAAGGAGAGTTTCGTTAATGATTACTGTACTAAGGATGCTCTTGGGGAAGGCTCCTGGCCCCTCTGGATGTCAGGGAGCCTCAGGTATAGTTTTACATCATCTCGAGAGTTATATCAGGGGGTGGCTGATATATTTAAATCCAAGTAATATTTTAAAATTTTAAATGTGTTAATAGAACACTTTTGAAGGGTCTGTAGATAGAGATCATTGTAAAAAGAAGTGAACGAGTGTGGTAATTACTCTAACAATAGAAATAATTGATTGAAAATAAGATGGCATTTACTCTTAAGTGAAATTATATATTAACATTTTAAATTTAATGTATTACTATTTAGGGTGTTTTGCCATTTTAACAAATTTTGAGAACTACTACAAGCTTGGAGGATACAACTAACTCACCCCAAGGGGTTTATGACCTAATAGAACCACCTCTACAAGAGGTATTTGTAATTCAGAGGCAAAGCTTGTTTATTCCTGTTCCGAGGAGCAGGTATGCAATTCCAGGCTGTGTGACTTTACTGAGGGCCATTTTTAGCCTTCTCTGTAACTGAGAGTGTATCATCTATGCAAAAAAGCTGGCCCTGCTAATATGCTTCTGTGGATCTTTACCAACTGTTTTCATTCCTGTTGTAAGGTGAATATGCAGGTTTTGATGAGACGCAACCAACAGCCGAATCTGGTGGGAAAGGAAAAGTTATTAAACTTTTAAAGGAAAAATTTCATTTTAAGAAAATAGTCATGATTGGAGATGGAGCTACCGACATGGAAGCCTGCCCTCCTGCTGTATGTATTAAGAATACTAATTTTTTTTCAGGTTATACTTCTGTTTTAGACATCTGATTTAGAACTATATAAGATTTACAACAGGAGTTAAACAAAAACAGCTGTGTCATTAAAAAAAAAAAAAAAAAAAAATTCAGGGCCGGCCCAGTGGCGCACTGGAGAGTGTGCTGCTTGTGAGTGCAGCGGCGCTCCCGCCGAGGGTTCGGATCCCATGTGGAGACCGGTTCCCGCTCACTGGCTGAGTGCGGTGTGGGCGCAACACCAAGGGTTGCGATCCCGTTACCGGCCAGTAAAAAAGACAAAAAGGAAAAAAAAAACCAATTCAATCTTGTTATGTCAATTAACCTTTTGCAAACCCAAGAAACATTATGAATAAGGAACTAAAAATCTTTTAAAACTTTTTTTTTTTTTTTTTTTCCTTTTTTTGTCTTTTTCCGTGTCCGGCAACGGATCGCAACCCTCAGTGTCGCACCCGCACCGGACCAGGACCGGCAACGGGATCACAACCCTCGTTGTTGCTCCCACGCCTCGCTCAGCCAGTGAGCAGGAACCGGTCTGTATGTGGGATCCAAACCCTCGGTGGGAGCGCCACCACGCTCCCAAGCGGCGCACTGTAGCAGTGCGCCACCGGGCCGGCCCAATCTTTTAGAACTTTTAATGACCAGTTGTCCCTGTAATATGGCCACCACCTTTTAGCGCAAGTGTGTCCTCAATAAGGTTTGGCTTTATTTCCCCAAATAATACCATCAACAACTCTTACAACTATAACCAAGATTTTTTTTTTTCTTTTGACAGCTGGCTGGTGCAGGCAACCAAACCCTTGACCTTGGTGTTACAAGATCCCGCTCTAACCATCGAGCTAACCGGCCAGCCTTATGACCAAGATTTTAATGTCATTTTATACTTCATGTACTATTTCCTCATACATTATCTCATTTGGTTCCCATAACAACCCTATGAAGTAAAATATTATCTTCTTTTTACCGATGGGGGGACTGAGGCTCATGGAGGTTGCATAACTCACCTGTATCAAACTGTGTTTATTTTTCTGATTTATTGTTATTTTCTGAGACCAGCAGGGGTTTTATTTCTGAGCGTTTTAAACCCAATGCAGGAAGCAATGCTATACAGCGAGTGTCTTAAGTATCAAATGTGGACATTTCACATATGGCTTTGCCTTTGTCCTGTCATCTAACTTAAGGAAAACCGAACCAAAAATATAGTGCTGAACTTTCTATCACCCAGTGTCCTGAGAGGTAAAAATAGTTGCTGTCTTTGTAAGTGATTAATCAAAAATGTTTAAAGAGGGTCTGGCTGGTTAGCTTTCTTGGTTGGAGTGTGGTGTTGGTAACACCAAGGTCCAGAGTTTGGATCTGTGTACTGGCCGGCACCCGAAAAATGGTTAAAGAATCTTTTTGGATCCTTTTAATATTACTTGAGTCAGTTCAACATAACATGAGCTTGGATGCTTTATAACCAGTGCTGGGGTTGACTGAGTGATGACCGTGCGGCTAGTTTGATGAGGAATACATAGAAATGAGATACAGAGTTCTCTCAGGGATCCCCAATCTTATTGTTAAGAAATGACAAATGATAAATTCCAGATGGCTCTACCAGTCAAAGGTGGCAGTCTGACCTTAGAGAAAGTGATGTGCACGCAGGTGTGCAGCTCTGCAGCTGGTCAGAGGGTCTGTGACCTGAAGGAAGGTTAGCAGCCCCCAGTGCAAGCCTGCAGCACTTGGGGGAGGAAGTTTCCAGACAGGGGAGCAGCTGAGCAGAGTGGGGATGTGCCAGGCACGATCCTGGCTGATGGGCAAGATGGGGTAGTAGGCTTCCCTTCAGCAAGTCCCAGAGGCCCATGTGCTAGGCAGTGCGTTGAGTGTTATCTTTAGGTCATGGGAAGCCCTTGAAGGCTTGTGGCCAGAGAAGGAAGAGTCAGTGTGTTAAGACGGCTGATTTGGTGCCGGCTGATTTGGTGCCGGCTTGTGACAGGATTGCCACGGAGGCAGATCAGTTAGGAGAATAAATTCAAGATAAGAATCTAGATCTCTTTTTTCCCTTGTGTGACATGATAATAAAAGTGGAGGGCAAGGTTGAGTGAGAGAATTTTGTACTTACAAATTAGTGTATATTATGTCCGTATCCTGGCAGAAGAAGAGAAAGTACCATTTTAAAAGAACATTGACTAAAAGAAAGTACTACTTAGGACTAATGAAACAATGTGACTATAAACAGTAACAGAAATTGGGGTTGTCATCTCCTTTAGCCCGGAGTCACAAAACCCAGACCATGTTTTGCACACGTGCTGCGACTGGGGAAGGAGCCACTGCGTCGGCAGCCACTGTGGCCTCCCTGGGAAGGAGGTGCCAGTCTTGTCCCGAGCACCACACTGTGGCTTCCTTTGACCTTCCCTTCCCTCACGTGGCATGGATAGGACTGCCATCCACTATAGAACTCAAGCATTTACCACCTTACTACCTGATGCAATTTTATCTTTGTAAGCATGTGTCTTGGTTTTCAAAAGGGCGAGGACCACATCTTACCCTTCTCCCAAAGCCCCCACCTCGCCCGGCTGAGTGGGTTGGAGCTCTGTGTCTGTGTGGGTGGGTGGGAGTGTGGCTGGGGCAGGTGGGGGGCACTGGGCTTCCTCATCCCAGCGAGCTCGGGAGGCACGCTGGGCAGGCGGGGCCCGCCTCTCTGCAGGAACAGTTTATTCTCTCAAGCAAGACTTCCCTGGGCTGCTGTGCCTTTTTTTTTTTTAACTGTGTCCCTTTTTTTTCCTTCTTAGGATGGTTTCATTGGATTTGGAGGAAATGTGATCAGGCAACAAGTAAAGGACAACGCCCAGTGGTATATCACTGATTTTGTAGAGCTTTTGCGAGAACTGGAAGAATAATATTGATTTTTATATGGCTTATAACAACTTCAGATTAATTTTTAAAAGTTATGGAGATTGATACTGTTTGCTTACAGTTGCCTCTTACAATAACTTGTTAAATAAAACTGGTAATGATTATTTGTACTCTCAAGTAAACTACAGTTAGGACTCCTAGAAGATTGCCTTTTTTTTTATTGTATTTCCTGTATTATGACCATCAATTACCTGGAGAGTTTTATAATCTGAATTCTTTATATGTATTCCTAGCTATATTTTATGTGAAGCCTTTTAAAGGTGGATAGTAAATTAAACACCTTCACTATTGGAAATATGGATTCAGTAGCCTTAATATTGATTTTCCCTTTGGTATATAAATCCAAGTTTTCTGTGTATCAGAACAGATTTGTGGAATTTTCAATTCTGCTTTTTATGTATTTCAGTGTCCAGTATTTCAGGTACTGTATAAGTGTTTTAAGTAGAAACAACCTCCAGGCAGGGAACAGAGTTGAGACTCTCCTTGGTCTGGGCACAATGTACCCCTCCCCCCATGAAGCACTGGGACAGAGGGGTATAACAATTAAACAAAAATACTGACCTTAAAAAATGGACATTTGAGGGCCAGCGCATGGCTCACTCGGGAGAGTGCGGTGCTGATAACACCAAGGCCACGGGTTCGGATCCCTATATAGGGATGGCCGGTTAGCTCACTTGGGAGAGCGTGGTGCTGACAACACCAAGTCAAACATTAAGATCCCCTTACCGCTCATCTTTAAAAACAAAACAAAAAAATTATCTGTTGTGTATCTGAACTTCGCATTTAACTGGGTGTCCTATATTATTATTTGCTAAATCTAGCAATGCTCAGTTTAGGGGCCTCTGGAAGCATACAGCTACCTGAGCTTCCTGGATATTTGAAAATCATGTGAAGTAAAAGAAATAAAAACAAGTTTTATTAATCACAAAGGAAGATCAGCATTTTTGCCCTAAGTGAATTAAGAACTAGCTCCTAACAGCATATATGAACCATTTCTTTTTTAAAGATGACTTGAAAGACCTGAAAGCCAGGTTAATGTTTTATTTTGAGCAGTACCAAGCAAGGGAAATTTCAGAACATGCTTTGAAAGTATGAGTGGAAAAAAGGAGGGGTGGGGGAAAGAGGGCTGGGAAGAGCGTGCAGTGAGCACTGCTGGATAATTAAGTAGAAAAAGGCCATAAGTTTTAATATTGGAAATTACTTGAAAAACATACAACTTAGCCAAATAGTAAAATCTGGCCAAATAATCAGGCAATTATTTAGCCAAATAAATCAGATGAATCAAATTTCCTTCAAAATCAGCATTTCTGTAGCAAGACATGAAATAGGTTCAGCAGCATGTAAATGAGATCACAAACAACGAGGCAGTTGTTTCACGATTGCGAACGCTGCCTGGCACCTCTCTTAGAAGCTGTTTTGTGGCATTTGTACATTCAGTGGTTCCCGGTGCGGGGCAGGACCAGACCTGCAAGTCTGTGAAGAAGCCCAGTGTGCACAAGCTGGGGCATGCCAGCGGGCCAGGGGAGGACTGACGAGCTGCCAGCCCTGTTGGTTCTAACAGCCTGGCTGTTGCGGCCTGCCATCCACAGGGCTGTGGCCTGAACCAAAGGTGGACACAGAGTCTGATCTGCCAAGAAATCATGATGCTCACATAGAACATTTTATACAATTAATTACACAGCCCCTCCTCTGGCTCACAGGCTGCCCAGCTCAGACTGCCTGAGAGCAGCACAGACAATCCCTTCTTTGTGGTGCACGGTGAGTATGAAATGACACAAGAGCTCTGCCAGCTGCAGTTCTGCATTTACTGGGGACAGCTGCAGAATGGTCTCCCAGGAGTGATGTGCGTGGGTTGCACCGGATGGACTCAGAAAGTGGTGGCAGGGTCACATGGCTTCTTGTCCCTGTGACACCACTCTGCTTTTGTAAACAGAAAAAGTTAAGAATTGGGATCAAAAGTTAAGAAGTTTCTCATGATGTTGAGTTGAAACAATAAAATTCCCTGAGTATATAGGAATGAACAAACCAGAGTGTTTTTCCTACACTCTTGCCTGGCAACAGTCAACACAGAAGACAGACTTCTGTGACCAAATGTGTGGGGGTTTCCCCACACCCCAAGCGGTTCTCCAGTGAACACCAGCGGGGTGTCCTCTAATTCAAATCTATCCTGATGCTATCTACCTGGAGACAGCGTCAGATCCCATAGGTTGAGGGCTCAGTCCCGAAGACCGCCCCTCACTTCAATGCCAGCTGAAAGTCCAGGTCTCTGGAACTTCTGACCAGACAGCTATAAATTGGGTTTCCCACAACCCCTCCCTGGGTTCAGTTAGTTTGCTGAGCAGCTCACAGAACTCAGGGAAACACATTGACAAGTTTATTATGAAGGACATCACAAAGGATACAGGTGAAGAGATGTGTAGGGCGAGGTATGGGGAAGGGGCATGGAGCTTCCATGCCCTCCCAGGACCCACTACCCTCCAGGAACCTCAGCCATCTGGAAGCTCCCCAAACCCTGTGCTTTTGGGTTTTCATGGAAGCTTCACTACATAGGCATGATTGAAACATGGACAACAATGTGGGAATGTGATTGGATAAAAAGGGTCTGACCTAACACTAACAGCCTGGGTGGAAACCGGGCAAGTCCTGTTTAAAATGTTCGGCTTCTTCTTGTCCTCTTCATGCAGTTTTCCTTCCTCCTGGGCATGGGGAAGGGCACCTCCTGAAATGTGGGTCTCGTCACATACCATCAGACAAGGTAGGTCAGAGACTTTCTTTATGGCCAGCTCCAAGACAGAAAGGTGAGGAGGAAGATTAGAGTCCTGCTTCATTACACAGGAGTGACTGACTAAATCACTGGCCCCTGGTGATCAGCATAACCTTCAGCCCCTCTCCCCTTCCTGGAAGTTGAAGGGTGGGGCTGAAAGTCCAAGCCCCCATCCTGGTGACCAGCCCCCTACCTGAAGCTACTTAGGGGCTGTCAACTCATTAGCATACAAAAAGGTATCACTTTAGAGATTCTAGGAGTTGTATTCCAGGAAACAGGGACAAAGACCAAATACATATTCCACAATATCACAGTCCCGCAAAGCTTTTATTTTTTTTTTGTCTTTTTCCGTGTCCGGCAACGGATCGCAACCCTCAGTGTCGCCCCCGCACCGGACCGGGACC